CTTTTTATTTCTTAAATAAATGTATACATAAAATATTAACATTTTAAATTAGTTTCGCATCATTTCTGTTTTTAAATTATGATTTTTAACATAATTAAACCGTTTAATTAACTTTTTTCTTATAGCCGATCTACCTAGAAAACTGCAGCACTTAATCACTCCTACCTTTTTCGGTGAAGTGTTATTTTGCTACGGTTGGAGAAATACTCTGCACCGGTAAGATCCGACGTTAACTATTTAATGATGGCAAGTGTGTATGAAATATAGGTTATTAAATATAGGTTATTGCATAACAAGAGCAAGAGATTTTGACAAAAATTAACGTTATCATCTGAAGAATGACATTTTGAAATACTTTTTTGTGAGCTCAATTTGAAAAAAATAATTCTTACATCTCTGTATATGATAGAAACGTTAATATTCTTGCATATAGAGATAATTAATCAAATATTTTAGAAATCGTTAAGCATTTAAAATTTTTTATATTTTATAACATATTATGAAATATTTCTTTTTAAATATACATCCGTACATCCGTTTCCTATTTTTGATTTGGAATCGTAATGGAATTTTATCAAAAAACTGTAATTTTTCCGGTGGTTTTATATCTAAAAATATTTTGGGAAAATTGGAATGGAACTGCGAAAAATATACTACAAATATATTACGTTCTTATGATTGACTTCAACTAATTGTGGATCGTAGGTGCTCAATAAACAATTATTTAAAAATATTTCTAAGTATAATACCCTTTGTATGTGAAAGAGTTTATATACTGAAAAGCGTTGTTAGTCTATATGTATTTAGATTGTATTTATGTTCAATTTTATAATGAAATTGATTGCAATTTAAAATGAATAAAAAACGTAATTGTTAATTTTTTTACAATTCTTATATAGTTTGGTTTGGTGTCTCTATAAATGAAAACTAATTGAAATTGATGGTTAATAAATGTTAATATAAATTTTATAGCTTTTTATGGTTTTAATTGAAAAATATTCGTCTGAATTTTTGGGGAAAATATAAATTTATAAATAATCAAAATTTTTAACCAATTATCAGTTAGTGCGTTGGATTATCATAATAAATATAATACAATTTTGAAATATTTTTATAAAAAGTCTTTGGAGTTTGACGTTTTTGAATCCAAAACCGAGTGAGAAATGAAAACATAATACCTACACTGCTAAAGAGCGTCATGAAACCAAAGACGTCATGAGAGCCACCTAAAGCCTATAATTAAGCTGCCTTTTGCATGAAGGCACTGACTGGTATCTAACAACATCGCCAGGTTGTTGTCAAATAATGTGATGATGGAACGAATGCAAAAACTACACCTTTGTATTTATAGTCTGTGAACATTTTATATGACTTCAATTTATCTACTGTTTGAAACATTTACCAAATACACGAGAATGAAATAAATTTAACAAACAATATTGATAAAAAATCGCAAATAATATTTTTATTTAATACCAGAAAAAATTTATTAAACTAAAGGTTATAATAGACTAATTTTTTCATTGGTCTTGACTAGAAGAGTAGAAATAATTTTAACCTACAAATCAAGTCGAATAGACCATGATAAGGATTCGATCTTTAGTTAAGCCCCACACCACAACAATTCACCTAACCAGTAAAAAACAAGGTATATTATACAAGGTGTATATACACATATATATTTATAATATTAGAATTTTATATGAGCAAAATTTAATAGTTCAACTGTTAATTATAACGTATAGGTGAGATTTCGTATTCATCAAAAGAGTTTAAGGAGTTTGGATCTTAATTCATAGCTTCAATACACTATATAGTCTCTAAACTACTTTTAGTGAGTGAATCTTAGTATTTTTAATATATATAAAAAATTAATTATTTAAAGTGTTAAAATTGAAGGCTTCACAACTTTGGTGACTATATATAATAGATATAATCCATCTGGATTTACCCACGCTTTTTCTCTCGAGAATAGCTATGGACTTTTTTGTTTACCGTTTGAAGTTTTTTGAAAAATAATAATTTTTGCTTTCTGAATATATATTCATAATACTCCATGCTTTTATATTTGAAAGTCTTGTTTCCTACACAAATCATTTATTACTGTCTGATTCCTTGCGAACGGATGGATCAAATGATTTTTGATAAATCAAATTTGTGCGAAACCATGACTGGATGATAAAGATAAGAATTTGAACAGAATAACTTATGGAATAAACATCTATCTGATAGAAGAAAGCTCACCAAACTACTGTAGGAGATAATGTACGGAAGCTGCAGAAACTAGCGTGCATAGTAATTAGTGGAGCGATGAAAACCACCTTGGCAGCAGTCCTTGAGGTTGCAATGGGACTCACCTCACTTCTTCTACTTGCCAATAAGAAGCAATGACCTTTATAGTAAAGCTTCAATTGACCAGTAATCGATGAATAAGATCATACAATAACGTGAACATAAGTTTTTCTATAGATACTTTTTTATTGGACCATTAAAATAGTACAGCATTTCTAGTTAGGGTACTTACAATTGTAGGTAGCCAATCGATTACCAAAGAATAAAGTGTTTTGGTACATTAATTTTAAAAATACCCTCAAAATGTTTTAGAATTGAAGTAGTTAATAACAGAGTAACAATAATTCATAGTTTATTGTTGAAAATTTTTGAACATTTTCTGTTTAGTTATATTTTATCCAAAGAATGTATAAAAATAAATTGAAAAATCGGACTGAAGTATGTTGACGTAATTTAAGTTCTAAAACTAAGTGGATCGAGTGTACTCACTATTAAGAGTAACCGATTGCGTTTTATCATTCACTGAAAGCGTTATTCGATATCGTGACATCTTGAGTTTTCAGCTCAACGCTTCAAAAATATAATAGGTCGTTTTCATTTATTTTCTTCAATGAAGTTATTTTTAATAAGGATTCGCCTTCCTATTTCTGTAAAACGTTGAGTAAGATAACTTCATTTTCTGAGATGGACTTGAAGTTAAATTTATGGTAAAAAGAGACCTAAAGAATTATGATGGAACCTAAATCGATTGTTTTTAAAAATCCATTAATCTTGAAATAATAGGCCATAGAATATATGAAAATGTGTCTTATAATAAAAATAGTAATATTATTAAGACCATGTTAGCAATAATCTAAAAAATGTTAAAATATTTACCAAAAAATACAAAAGAAGAAATAATGTTCCTTTAAGCTTAAATGCTAGGTATCAAAAATACTTAGTGAGAGGCGTGAATTCAAAGTAGAGATTTTGACTTCAAATTTATTTGGAGAGTAATAATCCGCAACAGAGAGAACAATAGCGCACGTACTGACCCTTTTTCGTAAGAACAAAAATTTTGAAACAAAAAATGTTTTATGTCAGTTCAGATAAAAGAAGTAAAACCACAGAGAGGTCCAATTACATTAAAACAGAGTTTTAAGGTTTCAGAAATCAAGGACGCCAAACAGCCTTGAATGTGGCCAATGTTTATATTTATGTTCCTGCTTGGTTGGCTGTGATATTTTTCGGGTTTGGTAACAGGAAACAGTTCTAAACTTGATATTATAAGAGAATCTAGTCGTAATCCCACTCATACTCTGGGATTGTGTACTTTTCTTCATTTTTTTCCAAGAAACCATACTTCACGCCCAATTCCAAAGTGTCCAATATTTGTTGACGACATAATTCTTCCGGAATCTGAAAGTGGAGTTACAAAGTCAAAACTCTACATTTATGAAATGGTCGCACTGAAGTACTACAAAATTTTTTTGTATGAATTAAATTACTATCAAATGTACTCGTTTTTGAGAATATTCAAATAAGTTTTTAAGGTTAATTTGGTATGATTGAAAGGTTTTTAATAAGCCACGATCTATTTTAAGCGTTTTTTTACACAATAAATTGAATTTATTCATAATTTTTAAATTACCTTCTTAATGGCTGAACAATACTCTATTATTTCCTCCTTTGTTAGAGGCGTGTCAGTGTATACTAGAGCTTCCGTGATTTGGTGGCCGTAATTCTCCATTACGATCAATATTAAAGATCACGCCAAGGAAC